GTTGGATGCTCATCTCTCTGATTCCATTATAGACTTGGTAAAACTTTCTTTGCAGTTTATGCTTTGTTCAATCAATCTCTTTGTTTCTACCACCAGCTAAGAGTTACTTAAATGCAAGAACTATGCTTTGCACATTGTGTTTCTCGAGCCCATAGTGGACACATGTGCACAATTTAACCAATATTGAATAAATGAGTCATGGTATGGTATTTGAATTAACAGATGCAAATATAGACATATACACAAAGATTTCTGTTATAACATTGTATTACACAAATCTTACAGGACATTTGTGTTATATTTTGCATAAGGTGCTGGAGAGAAACACAGGTTGGGAGCCTGAAGGGCTCTGTTCCAAACCTAGTAGAGCTAGTAGTAGCCAGTGGGTGATGTTAGCCAATACTGAAGGTTCTTTGGGCCCCCTAGTCCCTCCTGAGGATAGTCCCTGTGGCCAGAAGGACAGAACAGATGTGCTAATCCTGCCAGCTCAGTGCATGAAGAGCACAAACTACTCTTGGCTGTACTCCAGCTCAGACTCACAACCAGCCAGTCCTGCTTCCTAGAAGAGCTGCTCCATTCCTCTTTCTTTGGAGGGTAAGCAGGCTTAGAGTTACAGGAGGCAGCTGCAATAGGCACACCTAAAGGTGATGTAAATCATTTTGGATTCCATGTTCGAGAGGGCTCCTTTCCTCCGGTCACACTTTCTTTCCCAGCCATGGGACCTAGGTCTTTCCCAACTGTACCATCCCCACCTTACTCTCTTTCCCTAAGGCTGGCATAGCAGCAGCAACAGCAATGGAGAGAAAACTGGCCAGGCTCACAGCCAAGCTCCTGGTGATATCATCTCTCCAGTGAGAGACACTGAACAGTATTGTGTCTCTTATTTCCTAAGCAGCTGTTCTCGAGACAGCAGACAGAAGTAACAGGAAGGTGAGAGCAACCTGTAGAAAGTCCAGCAGAGGTGTAACCAGATGTCAGCCAGTCCCCAGGTGTTGAAGACTCCTCTTCATGTTTCACAACTGCAAGATCTTATTTTCGGACAATATTTTCTAAAGGTTCCTAAGAACTGGCTCATTGCCCAAGATTTTGGCTTTCTAAAATGCTTGATAAAGAACTTGAAGTTTATTTCATTCTTCCCATGCTTAGACACACACACACACACACACACACACACACACACACACACACACACACACACACCTGTTTACATAACAAAAACTGAAAATGTAAGCAGCAGATGGTGATTTTAAAAATAGACAAGACAAGCTTGGTTTCAATCTATTGATAACTTGCCTGTGTCCTTTCTGCCCTTCACCACATCTATTCCTTTCCCTTGTTCTACTCCTGACTTAGCTGACAGGGACCTTTCTGGTTTCCTTTCTTAACTAACCTAGCGAGGAAACAGTAGCCCAGAAAGCCTAAGAGACTTACCTGGTAACTCACCCATTGAGTTTCCACGATGGAAATTTTTTGTCTTGTTTTGTTTTTATAAAATGGTCAAAGACAGATGCTTTTTCCCCCTCAGGGTAAAAGTGGATCTTCAGAGTCTACTTGAGGGCATAATTATCCCTATACCCTTTAAAGACTGCAAGGGCAGTTAGTTCACTATTCTAGAAAACTCATAGAATTATTACACCTTTCTCCTCTATCTGAAAATATCAATTTCCATCAAAGAATAAGTGCAAAAGCTCCCCTACTATTCATTAGGAAAAATATTAAGCATACATAAAAGAGCCAAGCATCTACTATCCAGACTTATTAAATGTAAGTTCTGTGACCATAATCATTTTACAACAGTCATTTTTGTTATTCTAAAGTTGTTTTTATAGTTGCATATATTTGATAAATATAAACAGAAAAAGGACTTAGGACTGTGTGAGGCAGTTTTCTTTGTGGTCATGACTTTCCAAATTTAGAATCAAGGAGAAATAATTAGCTAAAGAGCTTAGTGGTGAGAAAATGGAATTCAACTTTTATTGTTTCCCAGCTGGCCCTCTGATATTGAACAATGCCTTCAGCCAAAGCTTTTTGTCACAGGTCTGCTAAAAGCAAAATAAATAATACTGTCATGTTTAATCTGACTTCATTAGATCGGAAAAGCAAAGTCGGATCAAAGAGAGTGGAGAGCCAATGGGGGAAGGTATTGAGAGGACAGTAATCAGTGTGGAGCCTGCGAGTCCTGGCTAGCTCATCCTCAGCCCCACAGGCTGGCAAGGGAGGTTTAGAGCCTCCAGGTGCCCTTCCCCAGGTCACCCATGCACCCCCCAGCCCCATGTAGAATAAGTAACCTTCCTGGCATGAGGTGAAATGCTAGGTGAGAGTGTGGCTAGTGAAAATTCTGCCCAGTAAACATTGGAGGGACTGTTTAGGCTTCATTTCTCACCTTCATTCAAAAGCTTTCTCCTGTTATCTGTTTCCCCCCTACCCCCATCTCATGGGTATTGTTTTAGACCCTGTCTCTTCCTGTTTAGACCCCTCTACCCTTGCTGTCTGCCCTTTCTCCCAGACCGTGTCTGTCTTTGCTCTCTGTCTGCTTCAGGCACATTTGTACCTGCAGCTGCTGCATGGCCCCTCCAGGGTAAGTGAGGAATGCTACTGTGGAATGTGAGAGTTCAAATTGTGCCCTTTGGCTGCTGATGGTGAAGAGGAAGGGAGCCAGGTGTCAGGACCTTTGCACCTATACAGTGTCCAGGGCCTCTGGTTGGCCGTACAATGATTAGCAATTTCTTGGCGGGTCCCTGGCATAGGGATAAAGAAGGAGATAGAGTGTCCACAAAACATTCCACTCCCTTGAGGCATGACAGTTTCTTTCTGGAAAGGAGCAGCTGCTGAGCCTTTGTTTAATTCGAGGCATATATGTGACAAGGATTCTTAAGCTCATGGTGCCTAACAGAGCAAAGATCCTAGATCCTCAGAGACCCTTCCTACCTACAAGGGTGATTCTTTCTCACTCACACAATAGTGGAGGAGCAGACCCTAGTAAGACAAAAATGAGGGTGAAATCCATGCATTTCTCATACTCAGTGCCTTTGGGATTTCTCTTAGGTCTGCCCAGAGACTGGTCTTCCGGACCTGCTATTGGTCAGGCTGCTGGAAGCTGTTGCTCCTAACTGCTCTCTAGTGGCCAGCCACCAGTATTGCAGTCACAAAATGCTAGGCACTGCAAGAAGGCGGCTTCTACCAGTGTTTAGGAAAGCCTCCTGCCGCAGCCGACGGGGTGCTTTGGGGTCCTGGTGTCTAGGCTGCCACAGTGCACTGAGACGCAGGCCAAACCTTGGGGAGCAGGCAGTTGGCAGCAGACGAGAGCTTGTCTAATAGTTTAGATCTGGGTGACTGAAAGCGTGACCCTCTGTCAGTCTCTCTTCCCTCTCCCCCTCACCTCGTGCATGTCATTCACAGCAGCCTGGCTTGTTCAGGGTGTGAGGGGGCCTCATGTGGTGACTCTTAGCACAGCTTGGACCCAAACACCCCTGTGCTGAAACAGGTATGTCTGCTCACAGTTCGTGGCTTTATGGGCTCTCTGTGCTCTGGCGGGGCACAGCAGGCTTGCTCCCCTTCTGAGGAGCGCTGACCCTTAGGTGTTCTTCAAACATTTCCTGCACTCCCAGGCTCCCTATCTTTCTGATATTCCTTCCGTTACCCGAGTCTCTTTTGCTCTTTCTCTAAGCTGGCTCTGGATTATTGGTGTATTATTACCCTCACCGGATGCAGGTGCCCCTCCCCAACCAGGAGTAACCTTCCCTCCCACCTTCTCAAGCACTCTGTCCCACTCTCTGATATTTCTGGGATGACCGCCACTCTTGTCCCATCTAGCCTGCCCCTGTTCCATTTGTGTGGGCTGCAAATGAGTTGCTCTTTTCTGTATGTTAGAATAAATAAAAAGTGTTCTGTTAGCATTGACTGCCATGAGGGCTCCTAATAATTGTTTCTTCTAGTAACTGAGTGCTCACTACGTGTTGGGCACTGGGCCAAGTGCTATGGGAACTCTCCTCCTTCAGGTACTGCCTAGCAATAGTCCCGAGAATGCCTGCAGTTTTAAAAGGGAAGGGATTCCTAATACCACCGGGTGTGTCCCCCTCTCCTCCCCTCCCTCCCTTCTCTCCTCCTTCTACAAGTGCAGACAGATCCAGCACCTTAGCTTAGATGCTTCTGTGCCACACAGTGACTCCGGGGGCCACCAGCAAAACCAGCTGTATTGGATTTTCTGTGAGCTGGTCGGGAAGGGTGGGCTTTTTAAATGGAAGGTCCACAGGTGTAGGGATTTGTTTGGGGGAAGACATAAGTCATTGATGGAGGCCGGGAAGAAGCTGGGGTTGTCTCTAGAAACTAGGGACCATTGAGCTAACCATTGAGATGTTGTCCCTGAAGGGCTTCTGGCAGACTCTTCCATAATTAATTTCTGTTTTCCCTTTTTGGTATTTCCAACATTATTTTTAGTGATGGCATACTGGAATACTAAAATACTTGAGTCAGGGTAAGCACAAATAAAACCTGGTTTTATTTGTGGTGATACAAATTCACTTAATTAAACAAATAAATATTCACTGGACACTGTTGACGCGCCAGGCACAGACTCATGTTAAGGGGACAGGAAATACAGTCATACTCTATATTAGGGATAAAGGAAAAGATACAGTGTCCACAAAATAGTCTACGCTCTTGAGGCAAGACAGTAACCAGCAGATTCAATGAAAACGTTCTGAGTACCTGATATATGACATCTGGAACCTGAAGCAAATTTGGCAAATCCATACCCTTCTTGCACAAAGTCAGAACAGTGGCAGAGGAATGATATCTAAGTGACCAAAGCAAAAGGAGGTTAGAATCAGAGTCCTTGGCTTGCAGATGCAGGCCCCAGCTGTTCCAGAGATAAGGCATGGGCACTTGCCCCGCCTCCTGCTCCAATTCTGCCATTCTGCATAGCTCAGGCCATGCGGCTCAGGCCTTGGAGGTGCTCCCACATGCGCTCTGTCCTCTCTCCCTCCCTCCCCTCCTCTCTCTCTTTTTAAACTAACCAACAACAGCCCCAGATGAGACATAAATAAACGGGGGAAAGACTGCTCCCTGAAAGCAGGAGTGCACGGAATGAGATGCTCCTTAGGTTCCCTCTTCAAAGCGGCTGCATGAATGGGAAGGGGAAGTCTTTAACAAGACCGAGACCCCATCCTTTCATGCCTGGCTGCCTTTCCTGGAAGTTATGCCCCTGCACACAAAACTTACCTCTTCCCCCCACAACAGACCATCTTTCCCTGGAACATTCTTCCCAGTTATCAGGGACACAGAGATGTGACAGGGCAATACCACCAATCTCTACAGGATTCCCATTGAAGTTCATTTAGTTAAAATATTAGGGGCTGAGGCCTTGGTGTGGGGGTGGGGAGACACTGGGCATGCCCTGCCATCCAAGGGACGGAAATATGAAGTGCTGGTCCTCTGCCAAGAACACCTCTCCCTTTAGTGAGAAGGACTTCATTGTTCATTGTTCATGTGGAAGGAGTGTGGCGCTCATCAAGTATTTACTGTGTCATTTCTCTGACACTTCCCTGGGCCCTGGGAAGCGAGTGGGGGGCGGAGGAGGGAGGCGGGCTGATGTGAATTCCTCCACAGGCTTCTCTGTTATGGGAATGGGCTGCCTTGGATTTATTATCCCAAAAGTGACCAGGAAAGGCAAGAAGGCCAGGTTGGTCCTGCTTCGGTACACAATAATCTCTCATTAACAGGACCTCTGTGTCCTGAGCAGCTTTGGACAGCGGGTGTGGCTTTGCACAGACCGGCCAAGCTGGGAGAGTGCTCCTGGAAGGAAGTGGCTTTGTCCAGGCACTTCCCCATCACTTCCTTGGGGGTCTTGCAGGTCTCACCTCCACCCCATAACTGTGTTTCCAGAGCTCCTTTGAAGCTGTGATGTTCTGAAATGTATTTCACTAAACATTCCTTTACCCTTTCTAGACCATTCTATTGGTTCTGCTTTGTCCAAGGGCATGGAATACTTTGAGTGCTTTGAACTATCCCCTAAGGGCTATGGAAAATTATCACCAAACATTCTAGGACCTGAAACTCTGGACAAGTAGAGAGTTTCTGTCCTTATAAATGGTGAGACATCAATTATCCTTCTTCTGTTCCCAATAAGCTGTTCTCTGAGAGCTGAGGGCACTTCACAGGTCCTGTCCAGCCACAGTTTGGTGGCGTGAGTAGCCTCATTTCTCTAAGCAGAGACTAAGATTGCTACCTCAGTCTGAGAGCAGAAGACTGAGAAGGATTTCACTACCTTATGGAACTTCTCTTCACTAGCCTAACTGTGGCCAGCAGAGGGGGAAATGATGGCATCCCCTTTTCCGCTGCTGCCGAAAGACACTCAGGACTGGGCACTGGAAAAACAGGTGCCATGACCGTCCAGCTGGGTGCCAAGCCTGCCTCCCTCAAGCCCGGCTCTGTTCTCTACTCCCCCACCTTTTACCAAAAGGCTTGTATAGGGCACAGGGGAGTTGGAGGCAAGATGAACATGCACTGGGATGCCTCACCCCTGGGTTCATGGGCAGAGAGTACTGTGGGATGGTAGAGTTAGCTTATTAGATGTCAAGCACCAGCAACTGAAAACTTCCAGATTTTAGGAAACCCAGCATATTTGGCCCCCAGACTCGCACATCTGAGGCAACACTGACTCAGGTAGAGGGCAGGATGTCACCTTTGTTCAGTACTCCCATTCACTGCCACCTCCATCTGACCAGCCTCATTAGTGTGGCCTCCATCTGACTGTCATCAGCATGTGAGCTTATGACATAACCAATTAAAAAAAGGCGATAAGTTGTCATTACTCATGATGACTCTTGACGTATTGTCAACTCTTAATAAATCTATTACTTGGTTACTGCCTAAGCAAACCTTTGACTTTATTGAACCTCTGATTGCTCATGCCAGATAAACACACATGCACACACACACACACACACACACACACACACACACACACACACAACTGAAAATAGGCACTCAAATGCTTGCTTTGAAAATACACAAACCCTTCCATCAGCTTGTTGAGAACTGTGTTAAAGTGCAGACAAAGCTAAAGCGCTGTAGGGATGCTCCTAGTGGAGTCATCTGTTTACAGACTTAAGAATGCACGACAATTCTCAACTGGAAAGGAAACTCTGGGAAAGTATGCTTTTTCTAGCAACCCTTTCCAGTCCATGACAAGCCTATGAAACTGCTTCTGTGCCCTCCTTGCTTATCCAGATTCCTTACTCCCCTCCCCCCATCATCTAACAACCCCCCTCCCCCCGCAGAACAGCGACATCACCACACCGAGAGACCCCTTAATTACTAAGGGGGTGTGGTGCTAATGAAGAACCTAATTCTTTTAAGTGGAAGCTGAAATGCCCCCTACGTAAAAAATCTCAGTTTTCAAAGCCAGAAATGTTGGACTGCGATACACCTTCCCCAGACCCCGCGACCTACCTATCCCTTCATTTGTAAGTTATCCACTAAATAAATCTTCCTTTTAACTACAAAAAACAAACAAACAAACGAAAAACCAGAAATAATGTGTTCTCTGTTGGCTTTGGAGGGGCGGGCGGGGGGGGGGGGCTGATAAAACTGGAGAAGGCTCCAAGTGAGAAACAGCAGCTACTGCTCTCGAAAGACGGGATGCTCTGGTTCTAGACTTTTGAGAGTTAAAATTTGAAGGCTGGGAACTAAAGCAGGGGAGGGAAAGATAAGGAAGTGTTTTGGGAGATGGTGTCTGGGGTTGAATAATGGAGGCAGACTAGAAGGTTGTGCAGGCCTCATTTCCTCTAGCAAGGCCTTTACACAGCATACGCTTTGTCTGAGAACTCCAGGGCATTTCTGATTTTTGTGCACTTGAGTTGGTTTCTCCACTGATCACAGGCACCTCTCCCCTTGAGAACACATCCACTGAGATCTTTCTCAAGTGTTTTGTCCTCAGGAGCTGGGGATTACCTTCCAGGGATGCTGAGTACCAAAGGCTTGTTCACCAGGCTGGCCTCACTAAGCCAAGGGACCTTGTCAAATTTTGGAACAAAAGCCTAAAGAGAAAAGGAAAGAGATAATTTTGCAGAGTTTATCACACTTAAGAAAAATAAAGATAAATCTTAAAGGGGGGTCACAGGGCTGGAGAGATGGCTCAGTGGTTAAAAGTACTCTCTTCTCTTTGAGAAAACACAAGTTCAGTTTATAACACACACCTATCAGTTCACAACTGCCTGTAACTATAGTTGCAGGGGATCTAGCACCTTCTTATGGCCTCCACAGGCATCTGTTTTCAGGAGCACATACCTACACACAGACACATGTGTAGATAAAGTTAAAATATTAAAGTGGAATTACAACACTTGACTAGTGCTGGTACTATGATAACCAAAGTGAGCTATTAGCAACCACATAGCAACCAACCCTCTACAAAACATTTTTACACTCAAGTCTTTCAACCAACTTTCCCATAAAGTGGCCAGAAATAAATACGTGCCTTCTCTGTTTTACAAAGAATTCAAAGTGAAGATAGTGTGAATTCCTCTAAGTGACACAGTTAATAAATGGGTTCATGCTTTCTGACTTTTGTGTCCACTATATTCTGTATTCTATATATTTTCAGTTCTTTATACTTACATCTCTTTGTAATTTCTGTAATAGTTCCGTGAGCTCAGCTGAAAATCATCAATCTCTTGCCTCAATCCTCTAGCCATGTTTTCAGACCCAAGGCCCGCCACCCTCTCCTTTCTTAGGTGGCAAAGTCTAGGAAAGAATCGAGCTTTGGATTTGGAGCCATCCACAATTGGATATTTAATCTAGCTGCAATCCATATCCTGCTGCCTGACTTTGGACAAATAGAAACTTATGATCACATCGTCTCTGTGGAGGTCACTGCCCAGAAAGCTCCATGAGATCTGGGATATTTTTTTCTCTGTGTAGTTACTGCAGGATCATGAGCGCCAGAAGCCTGGGCTGGCTCCTGTATCTGTAGGAAGGTTTGGATGCATGCAAAGTCCCTTAGCTGAGGGCCTGACAACATTGCAAGCTCAGCAACCGCAGCTGTGATCACTCTTCCACCTGCCCAGAATCTATTCCTGCCTTCTCCTCCCTTTGAACCCCTGGAGGAGCTTCCCAGGCTCAGAGAACGCCACTTTGAGCAGAACTCCGGGAGAGGAGGAGCCAGTAGAGGGCAGCAGCGACCTCGCGGTGCGGAGTCTCCGGGGGCGGGACGCTTGGGCGATGCCGTGGTACCGACCCGGAAGTGCTCCTCCACACCGGTACCCTCCAACCCCGCGCTCCGGATATAGAAATCGCTGGCCGGCTGCCCTTCTTACTCGTGCACCCCTAGGAGCTCGGTGCAGGTGGGTTCCGGCATCCATCAGGTCGGGGAGTTCCCGCTGAGCCACGGCTGGGAGAGGGGCGGCGGCGGGCGGGGCGGGCTGGCTGGGTGAGTGGCAGCACTAGACGGTACCCTTCCCCGTCCCGGGACGCGGACCTTTCACATCCAGAAGTTTCTGTGCGTGAGGGCAGAGTCCAGAGTGTCTGGCTTTAAGCAAAAGTCTGTCCTGGCCTCCATGGAATAAATAAAGTCCGGCAGGAAGTTTTTTCTTAAATTTGCTGAATAACCTTCCTGTTTCTGACTCTTTTGAGATTTCCCTTTCTGAAAATAGAATGGTTTTTCATCCCGCAGTAGAGTTTTGCTGTTTCAGTTAATTAGGATGGTATAGCACTGTAGAGGATGGTAAGCTCAGCTAATGAACAAAGAAGCTTTGAGTTCTTGTTTGGGGCTAAAGCGATAGATATTATACCGTTCTGTATTGTGCAGATATTGTTGTCATGAGACCTATAACTTACCCCGATGCTTTTGGGAACCTGGTAACAGCTATGGATTCTGTCCCTATAAGTTTGCATAAGTTGCAAATACAGTCATGCAAAAATAGTGCATGGCACAGGGGAAGATAACGAGAAGCACAAACTTTGATATTTGACTTTTTTTTTTTTTTTTTGGTTTTTCGAGACAGGGTTTCTCTGTGTAGCTTTGCGCCTTTTCCTGGAACTCACTTGGTAGCCCAGGCTGGCCTCGAACTCACAGAGATCCGCCTGCCTCTGCCTCCCGAGTGCTGGGATTAAAGGCGTGCGCCGCCGCCGCCGCCGCCGCCACCACCACCCCCGGCCGATATTTGACTTTTGTTGGAGTTCTGGCTCCACTCTGTTACCCTGAGACATAAATACCCAACCAATGTGAAACGCAGATGTTTTACTAGGTAAAGTGGGACAGGTACTAACTTGTAAGGTTGTGACAGCTGAAGAAGGTACGTAAGACATTTAGCATTCTGAGTCAGTGATGTCATGCAGGATATCAATTAAGATATTAAAATTTGAAGTGTGATTTTAATGCCTCAAACTATGTCACTATACACAATTGATTTAGGCTTTCAGTAAACTGAGTTGACCTTTTCAAGCTTTCATATATTCACAGATCTCTCTTTTTCTAGGAATTTAGCTGCGTTGTCCTGCCTCACAGAACAAACTCATCTATTGTAGACCTAGCCTGGATTGCAGGCTTTGTAAACAAGGAAACACCTGTAGGTTATCAGCATGGCATTTCCAGAGAGGTCTTAATTTGTAACTTTATCGAGAACAAGAAATGCTTGGACTTCTTTGAGGGAGATTGAACCGGCCTGGATTTGAGGAAAGGATGAGATAATGTGTGCTCAGCGTGTAACTGACACCACAGAAGTCAAGTGGCAGAAGGTTTTATATGAGCGGCAGCCGTTCCCTGATAATTATGTCGACCAAAGATTCCTGGAAGAACTCCGGAAAAACATCTATGCCCGGAAGTACCAATACTGGGCTGTGGTATTTGAGTCCAGCGTGGTGGTACAGCAGCTGTGCAGTGTCTGTGTGTTTGTGGTGATCTGGTGGTACCTGGACGAGGGTCTTCTGGCCCCGCAGTGGCTTTTTGGGACTGGACTGGCATCTTCATTGATTGGGTATGTTTTATTTGATCTCATTGATGGAGGTGATGGGCGGAAGAAGAGTGGGCGGACCCGGTGGGCTGACCTGAAGAGTACTCTGGTCTTCATTACTTTCACTTACGGTTTTTCACCAGTGCTAAAGACCCTAACAGAGTCTGTCAGCACGGACACCATCTATGCCATGTCAGTTTTGATGCTGTTAGGCCATCTCATCTTCTTTGATTATGGTGCCAATGCCGCTATTGTATCCAGCACACTGTCCTTGAACATGGCCATCTTTGCTTCTGTTTGCCTGGCCTCACGTCTCCCCCGGTCACTGCACGCCTTCATTATGGTGACATTTGCCATCCAGATTTTTGCACTGTGGCCCATGTTACAGAAGAAACTGAAGGCATATACCCCACGAAGCTATGTCGGGGTCACGCTGCTTTTTGCATTTTCAGCTTTTGGGGGTCTTTTGTCCATTAGTGGTGTGGGAGCCATACTCTTTGCCCTTCTGCTGATATCCATTTCATGTCTCTGCCCTTACTACCTCATTCGCCTGCAGCTTTTTAAGGAAAATATTCATGGGCCTTGGGATGAAGCTGAAATTAAAGAAGACTTGTCTAGGTTCCTCAGCTAAGCTAGGGACCTTCATTTCATCATTAAGACAAGCCAAAAGATATAGAGCCTAACCAGTATAGCATTTAAATAAAGGCAGAGTCCCACTGTTGAAGCAGTGGGCTGGTCTGGGTGGTAGACCAGAGATCAGAAGAAAACATTTAGCCAAGGTGTTCATCCTTCAGTTATTTTGCGACTGAAAAGGCTTTCTGGTGCTGTCATGAATTATTGTCCCTCTTGGTTCCTTGTAACAAATGATGTAATGTCGGTTCTGCTTATTAAAAAAGTAACACCCATTGAATTGTCTAATTTTTTTAAAAAAATGCCCTTATTTATGCGCATGCACGTGCGCACGTGTGTGGTGTGTGGTGTGTGGTGTGTGGTGTGTGGTGTGTGGTGTGTGTGTGTGTGTGTGTGTGTGTGTGTGTGAGAGAGAGAGAGAGAGAGAGAGAGAGAGAGAGAGAGAGAGAGAGAGAGAGGGGTTGTATGTGTTGGTTCTCTTTCCAGTATGCATGTCCCAGGCATTCAGCTCAGGCCTTGGCAGCAAATGCCTTTTCCAGCTGAGCCACCACACTGGCCCTGTCTCCTGATTTTTCTGAGAACATAAGACATACAGAAGTGGTATGAAGAGTAGTAGGTGTGTGTGTGTAATCAGTTATCTAGCCTTGTCCGTGTACTGAGGACACCTTTATATATTTAGAGCCCACATTTGAGAATCCAGGATGCTGGTACTCATTTTGTTGTCCCACACCTCAGAAGTGTTCAGTCATTTTAGTTCTTAGAGGATTGTACATATAGCCAATAAAGGAGAATCATGTGTCATAGAAACAAAATGTTAGAGACGTTGAAAGAAGCTGGAAAGAGTTCATTGGGAGCAATTAGTCAACAAGAGGTGACATTTGCTCTTGAAGGATAGCTGGTGAAAGCCCTCAAGAGCCAGATAAGTAATGTTAGCAAGTTTGGAAAACTATGGAGCAAGCAGCTGTGTCCACTGAGGGCAGCTGCTGCTGCTCCAAAAATGATTGTTTGTTTCTGATCAGTTTGGGCTTCATACACCTGTGGAATTTCCAAGGTGAATATTATAGTAGCCATGGATCTTGATTTGTAATATGAAATGTGCTTTGTAAGCTGTCTCAAATTTAATCCAGGCTGCAAGAACATTTGCAGGCAAAAACATGACTGCATATGATGCCACATCTATTAGTCGAGGCACAAAGATGGGAATGTGCTAGGGGTTTAGAATTCCAAAGATCTGGAGGAGGAGAGAGAGTCAGTGGGAGCTTGAGTAATGAAGGGTTCATCTCTGTTGATACAGTCACTTGGGCTCTGTAGCCCATGGCGAGCAATCCAGCTTGTCTAAAGATGGGACCAATTGTGAAGTCTTGAGTTAGCTAATTGTTCTCCATTCTCATCTTTAAGAATTGTGGCAATTAGATAAGCTGTGTGTGAAGTGTCTTGAAGAATGCTCTCAGGATGCA